TCGATCTTCGGTACTCGATTATGTAATCACTTCGATATATTGTTTAAAAGTAAAACCAAATTATTTTATAAGTCTGACAGAGTGATTGTTATCAATATTAATATATATAATTGCATATTATCTTACTAGAAGTATTGTAATTAACTTACAAGTACAATGTATTACTTTTATGACTATTATAATCAATCAACTATTGTTGCAAATAACTTATAATATAATTTTAGCAGATTATAATAAGAGTTAAGTGCTTGTATCTCACATGTAAAGTTGTAATAATACTATTAGTAAGCTTACTTGCTCTAAAACATGTTTGTAGTTTAATAGAAACTTTGTATATTTCTTACATTTATATACAATCATTATAATTACATTACAAGTAAAATACAAGTATTATTTTAGAATGTAATGCTTATGAAATCATTTTATTAGATTACTTTTGCTATTATTAAATACATTTGTTGCAACTTTTTCGTGATGGGAGTACTGTCATACAAGCATCAATTGAAGGCAATACAATTGAATGTTTCAAGTGACTGTGCCTTCAAAGTTAGGGATCAGAAGACACCTTCTAAGGGGTCTCTCAACCATATGTGGGTGACTTGACAAGTACGTTGCATTGATGCAGTGCATATTGGGAATGGGATGTTGATGTTGCTGCATGGACGGCTGGATGGCTGTGCAAGTAACCTCTCTTTTATATTGATTACGTAAGACAACTATCGGACTCTCTATGTAGGACCATTGTAGGTAGGACAACCTCGACGACGAGAGCACGACAGACACTGGCAACAATGGGTCGACAATGGCTGGCATCTCTGTTAGCACTCATTGTGTACAATGTACAAAGTGCGCTTGCTGACAACGACAACGGCTTCGATGAAAACCCACTGCAGTCCATGGCCAGGTATTCATCAAACGTATGCATGGATCAGCACGTGTGTCTCCCCGCTGTGTTATTTACTCACGGTCTGCTGGCCTCTGCTCTCAGTGGTACTCACTGATCCTTCCTGCTTGCTGTCTACTGCTTCCAACAGCACCTCGAACTGATGAGCTCATGATGCCTGATTAGGGTTCTGTGCGTATGCGTATACGGACACACCAAGACCTCTATACGATACGGATACCCCGTATACGGTGTATACGGCGTATACGAAAAATAATGTATTAAATAGACAAAATATAATATTTTTCTTCAAAACATAATAATAAATGACTCTGCATTGTCCCCTCAGCATCCAACTCACTCACACCCATCAATACATTATTAAATACTAACAGTAGCCTTCAATACTTGCTTGACAAAAATCATGTGACTCTTAACCATGACCCTAGGATGTACTCTATAGCATTGTATACAACTGAAAATAAATTCCACAGCAATAATATAACCTATAATAGGTTGTATTGGTTATATAAGGGGTGTAGAACAATAAAAAATATACTAGAAATATAGCAAATATTACAAACCCAAATTAGATTTTGAAATTAGCGTATAAGCCGTTTAAGCCGTATACAGCAAATTTTTCACTTTAAAATACAGATACGCAAATAGAAATATGCGCGTATATTTGGGACTTCTAGACTACATACGATACAGTGCGTATGTGTATACGCCAAAGGCGTATGCGTATAATATGCAACGCTGCGGATCCCTACACCTGATATCTCTAGGACTGAATCCCTGTAGACAGCATGCTCCAAGCTTGTTGTACTCGAAATGCTTGTACTTGCTCAATGGCACTGCCCTGCTATGGCTGGGTCCAACAGCTCTTCCATCCCCACCCTGGAGGCACGTCTGCTCTGACAGTACAGTGCCAGTCTGCCTATATTCTACAGAGACAGATAAACTACAAAAGCACAGCCTTGGAATGAGCTAAGAGTCACATATAAACACACTAAACTTCGACCGTATAGACATTCGTGAATTCAACCCGGATTCTTGGCATAACCTAATTGGTGTCGACCCCCAAGATCCCGTCCTCTTCACAGGGACGATCGCATCCAACATTGCGTTCGGGAACTCAGATGCAACTAGAGAACAGATTGAAGAAGCAACTCGGCAGGCGAATTGTGAATTCGTATGGGGGATGCCAAAAGGATCTGATACCGAAAGTGAGTATCTCTGTTTGGAAGAGGTAAATGGTGCTGATGGTGGAATGAATTGAAAGTTGGGAGACTAAGCCTGAGTGGCGGACAACGTCAACGCCTTGCGATTGCGCGCACACTCTTGAAGAAGCCGGCGATACTGGCTATGGACGAGGCGACGAGCTCGTTAGACGCGACGTCTGAATATCGGGTGCGTCATCATACTATTCATTATTTACCCCCTGCAAACTACACTGTTTACTTACTCAAAATGCTTGTATACCGATCTGTAATATTGTTGTAGGTCAACGACGCGATTGACAAGATCCTGAGCTCGAGACAAACGACATGTATGATTGTTGCGCACCGGATATCGACCATTGCGCGTGCAGAGAGGATTGTTGTACTTGAAGGTGTGTCCTGACCCTCCTCTTGCGAACTGTAATTGAACTTGACCATTATTTGCTGTTATTTATAATATACTAGGTAGGAAGATTACTGAGTCTGGGACGTACCGTTAATTAGTAAGTACATTGACATTAACACCAATTTGTGTAGTTTTGCACTATATACGATATATCTGACACAATAAACCTAGGTATCTCGGCCCATCTCAGGTTTCCGCGCCTTGATGGCCGCACAACTCGATACAACAACGGCAGATATCCTTGTTTTATTAAATTCTCGAGAATCCGAACGCAGTACAATTGTCGACAAGAACGAAGCACTAGGAGAGCCTGAAGGTTCGATTGCATGCATAACTGTGTCTTAACACTCATTTAATCATCCCCATAGTATTAGTTATTGTTATTGTAGCTTAGGGACCAGTATAATACATTCATAGACTGCAAGCAAGAGGCATACGCATTAAGGCTACTCTAGCTGTTACTGTAACTCGCGATTGCACTGCTGTCAGATTTTGGAAGGTGTTAGGAAGTTGTTTGTACTGTGTTCCATCTCAATCGCTTCATAGCTTCAACATATGTGTGTATGAGATCAGAGTCTCCTTTACCCCCTTTAAGTGTGAAACATCTGATCAATGCTGACACACATGTCTCAGAAACTGCCATATAATATTAGTAAGTAAGTTATCTATTCATATATCCTGATTGTGAACCGTACTTTTTCAGCCTGCTACTCCCAGCCCAGTCTTGCACACAATGAAGTCCCAGCCCTTGCTAGCAACTAAATGGCAGTGCTATTTCACTGTGCATTGTCAGATATCTGTCATCTCCTCCTGCATCTCACTGTAATTAGACCATGGCACAGCAATGCGAACAAGTTTTCGAAAACCTCAACAACATTTCAGCCATAGTTACGCAGCATTGTGTACAAGAGGAACAGTATCATGCACAAGAGGAACAGTGTTGTGAAGAGTAGCACATCCAGGATAATCAGATCAAGCAAATGGTTGCTAATGTGCACACACAGGTAGAACAGATTGGTCAAGCAGCCAATATTAAGGAGCAGGACATGTACCAGTTGGCAGTGGGTGCCTCCTTAATGCTATTCTGTTAGCCATTTTTCCTTTTTTTTTTCAATGTTTACTGTAACATGCAGATTTGCTCTCGTCAAGGCACATGCCCACAACTTTGGTGTCCAGCACCAACTCTCCAGGGTCGGTGGCAAGGAACACGTTCCAAACTTGCAGCAGCTTCCAGACCTGCCAGGAAGTTATCCCTGTGATACTGCATTCCCGGAAACTTTTGCAGTGTTGATGATCTTGAACAGTACATAATAATATTATTCGTCCTTCCTATTTGCCTCATTATCTCATGTTTTTGTTTGAAGTGCAAGATACTGAATCACTCCTTGTTCACTATGGACAAAGTGTACAAGGAAGTCTCACTGACAAGAGATTATGTCTTCTATCTTATATTGTTCACAACGAGTAAACAGTAAGGTCAGAATCTGTGATTCAACTGGCAATTCTCACAGGGTAAATTGTATAGCAAGCCATGTGGTGAATTCCAGTTATTGAGAAGATTCCTGTACAAGTGGACAGTGGTGGATTGGGCTGTTGGCGAAGCAGAGAAGGGAGTCTTCAAGGGACAGTCGTGTGTGCAGAAGGTGTGTGTGGATATAGTCAGAGTGTACATAGACTGCTTCATCATGCTCTTTTACTTGCTATATAATCTACATGTTGTACTAAGTATCTTGATTGGAAATCGTTTTTGGCACTCGCATGGGTTTTTGTCTTCTGAGCCAGACAAACAGTGATAGGCCTGACAATGACAATGTCTTGATAGCTGTCAGAGGGGATGTGCAAGCCCAATCTATACCAACAAGTACTTAGCACATGGCATGAATGGTATTGATATCTAGTATCACATTAATAGTCTCTGACTACTGATTTGGTGGCTCTCTGTCACTGACCATGGCTGTCCACTGTCCACTCTGCCTTAGATTCACTCATGCTATACTAAGGCTATCTAAATACAGTGGATGCATTGAAGAAGTCCTTTCTCTAAGTACTTACATTATAGTATTTGACAAAAGTATTGTACAGACCTAATCTATTAATTAAAAAAGATTATATACAGACAACTAAGAACTATAATTATAAGATATAAGTACTATTATTTACTGTATAATATGGCAAAAAAAATGAGTTAAAAAAAATAACTATATATATTCTAAAATAGGAGAAAACTTGTGAGATTGTGCAAATGGTCACGTGCATTTTTTTTGGTCATGCCATGCTGCAAAACATTGTGCCATACTAGTACTCCATTACTATCAATAATACTCTGTCTTTTGCTCAATTCAGACTACTCTGGATCTACTGAAATGGCTCCATATCTTACACCAACAAAAAAGCAATGTATCTTGGACTGGAAGAGTCAAGGGTTGAGCAATGTTGAAATTGCATGAAAACTCGGTTGCAATGCATTGACAGTCTCCTGGAACTACTGCAAGCTGCTCAAAAACCCTAACCCATACTATGTCAAACCCAAACCAGGCTGTCCACACAAATTTGACATTCATAAAGTACACTATGCTGCCTATTTACTTGCTTCAGGCAAAGCAAAGGATTCCAGCAACCTTAAACACAAGTACTTCCTGTCCAATTCTGTACAAACCATTCGTTGTGCTCTCAAAGGATATGGAATAGTGGCCTGTGTCCCTCTCATTAAACCATACTTGTCCAAGAAGCATATTACTTGCAGGAGATATTGGGCTAGCAAACATTGGTTTTGGACTCTTAAAAAGTGGGAAAAGGTTATTTTCTCAGACAAGACAAAAATCAATCTATTCAAGCAGGATGGAAGGAATATTGTGTACAGGAGGAAGGGGGAGTCACTCCATGCAAAGAATGTAAAGAAAGTCATCAAGCATGGTGGTGGACATCTTATGGTTTGGGGATGCATTACTGTACATAGTGTTGGCTGTCTTCATCACATTGAAAAGAATATGGACTCTAGCCAATACATCCAAATCCTTGACAAATCACTTCTTGGCACCCTTTCTGACTACAACATTCCATGTGCCAAGTTTCTCTTTCAGCAGGATGGAGATCCGAAGCATAAATCTTGAGCAATGTCAAAATAACTACAAGAAAAACGAATCAAACTTCTCAATTGGGCCCCTTCGAGCCCAGACATGAACATTATTGAACATGTCTGGCACTATCTTGACAATAAAGTACAAGCTCGAAATCCACTTCCAAGGAACGTTAATGAATTGTGGAGGATTTTACAGGAGGAATGGTACTAAATAGATAATGAGTATATTGCAAGTTTGTATACTAGTATGCCCAGACGAGTTAATGCATTAGCAAAGGCTCAAGGAGGGTATACTAAATACTAAATCACTATATTAATATAACAAGTTTTTTGAATACAAATGTGTAATATAATAAAATTATTAAAAGTAATCAAAAGAAATGCACAGACACTTTTTCTTAAATTAAAGTATATTAATTATTATAAGTAAGTATTAAGTCTAATTATTATACTAACATTATATACACAAGGTGTACTTTAATAATACAGCATTTATTTAATATAAGCTAATATAATAATAATTTTAATAAAGAAAGAAGTTTGTGAAATACTAATGTGCAATACTTTTGTCAAATACTGTACATTGGCTAGCAGATAGCATCTGTGCTTTGTTCATCCCCACCTGTTTTCGTGATTACCTGTCCTAGCGTCCAAACCAAAAAATAAACTCGTCTTATGCCTATTCAGCAATCCCCAAAAATGTTGTAACTCGACCTTCAATAATGACTGTAATAATTTGCTTGATATGTACACAGGTTATGTTGTCAGTATGCATTCAAGCACAGCACATTCTCAGGGCACAAATACAATAAGAGTATCTAAAGTGAGGAGACTACAATCCTCACAGACTTAGGGTCCAAAATTTATTTTGAGCAGAAAAGTCCCTGTCTGAATAACACGAACCGTACCAAACAACAGTCCAAAATCTTGTATTAGTTTATATAGTTATAAAATATATAAATTTTCCAAAAAATTTAAAAGTACAAATAAGGCTGTAGTTTCAGTATAAAATATACAAGTAAAATGTATAATAACTAGACCCCTTGTTAATATTCTCAAGGTTACAGTTCATAACATAGAGCAAGAGGGTTTGTATATTATAGAAAATATTGTGGACCATATAAGTACTACAAGCATATACAAGGGTATTTAAGTTCTACAGTTGATTGAAACACTTTTCACTTTTTATCAGACCATTACTATAGTAATAAATAAATTATATTTAGCAAATATGTAAATACAAATAAATTATTTAATAACAATCCTCTACTACAGGAAAGGATGGACGCATTCTCGGGCCGTTTGATGTAGTCTTTGTCTCTGTTCCTTGGTTGCTGCTCGGTCCCGGCGAGTCGAGTTGTGCGTGTGTGCGGATTGTGAGTTTGTGAGGGTTGCAGAGGTTGAGGTTGCGCTTGTGAGACAGGTTGTGAAATTGACTTGCTAAGGGGGAAGGAAATGTTAGCGTGTGCTAGTACTTAAAGCAAAAAGGAAGATGCGCCGTGACGGTGTGCAGCAAGGATGAGTGACGCACTCGGGTTAAGATCCAGAGCGTTGAGCAAGCTCATCGGGTAGCAGGCGAAGCTGTATCCGTACGTGCACGTTGCATGCTCTGACTACGTCTCGCAATCAGAGGTGCAGTGAACTTAGTCGTTGTTGATGATTGCAAAGGTGTATCTCTGGGACGTTCTGTCTGGAACAGAGAGAGTGAAGTGAATGGTGTGGACAGACTTGGCTCAGGAGGGGTAAGTGGTGGCCACTGCTTCTTCCATTATTTGAAATGGTGTCATGGACAGTACTAGGGAATGTAAATGCACACAGTGTAGGCCTATCAAGGGTGATGTCAAGCATGGAATGGTGAGTGGGGAAGGAGAGTGTAAGGATTTGCTTTACTGGTTTGTATTTTATTATTACTACATTGCTGATTGAGTCAGATCATTACACAGTAGGACCCACAAGTGTATATATTCTCATTGTAGTTAGTTACACTTTCTCCTCATGTATCCACATGTGTATACCCTTATAAAAGACAGTATCAATTGTTAGATAAAGGGGATTCTTTTTCCCTGACCCCTTACTCAAGTACTAGGTTATTCTAGTCAGTAGTTGAGTAAACTAAGTGTTAACATGTCTTACAGACAATATAGCATTAGTAAACCGATAATACTAATAAGAGCGGAACGGATACATGTGTCGGATGCAAGTATTGGATACACAATACAAGACATGTATCAGATAAAAAAACATATTCTGGATAACTGAGACATAC